TGTCTGCGGGGTGTCCAGTCCTGGTCCTGGGGTGGTCAGTGTGTCTGCAGGGTGTCCAGTCCTGGGGGGTCAGTGTGTCTGCAGGGTGTCCAGTCTTGGTACTCTGGTCCTGCAGGTATGTGGGAGAAGTTTGAGAAGATTGTGTTTCTTCCTGAAACTAAAGCAAGAATTGCTTTCTCTCTCCTTTCTTTCTCCCACTTCTCCCCCTCAGACCACTCTGTAACTGTGGAAAAGGGGGGCTGCTTTCCTGGCTCAGCGCAGGTCAGCCTGGCTGGGGGTGGACAGGTGTCTCTGTCAACCGTATCCTCAGGGATGCATGTCCTGGCTGTTGACAAGGCAGGCCTATTGGTTCCTAGCCGGGTCCTGTTGTTTCTGGACCGGGATGCAGGTAGGAAAGCCTGCTTCATCGTCTTGGAGACCAAGGAAGAAACCCGACTCCGACTCACCCCTTCCCACCTGCTCTTCCTGTCCTCCAAGCGGACTCTGGACCTGAGTCTGTACCAGGCCTCATTCGCCAGTGAGGCCATGCCAGGAAAGTTCGTGCTGGTGAAGAGTGAGGGTGGAGAGCTACACCCTTCCCAGATTCTCTCTGTCTCCCTGGAGGAAGATGTTGGGGTGTATGCTCCACTGACAGAACATGGCACCCTATTTGTTGATGGGGTGCTGGTGTCCTGTTATGCAGAGCTGAATGACCACAGCCTGGCGCACTGGGTGTTTGCACCCCTACGAGTCCTTCTGGCCTTTGCCCAGGAACTGGGGCTCGTGACATACCAGAGCAGCCTGAGGGCACACTGGAGCAGGGCCAGCCCCAGGGAATACGCAGCTCGGGGCCCTCTGCTCTCCCTCAGCCGGGGACTGGGTTTCGGGATTTACCAGCTCACAGATGACATAAAGGCACACAGGAGCTGGAATCAAACCTGCTCAAACCAGACTCTTCAGAATAGCAGGGCACAGCCGAGTCTGCTGCTTGCAGACCAAGATCCGGGGGTCCACTGGTATGCCAGGCTGCTCCACGTCCTGGGGCGCATGCTGCTGGACCCCAAGAAGTTTCACTCCTAAACACCTCAATATGACAAGCTGGACAGCAACACTGGAACTGCTTGCGTTAAACTGTCTGAGCAGAGTCTGGCAATTTGCCCTTGTCCACAGACTCACCTGCGCAAGACTGTCCAGTTCAGCTGAGGTCCTGATGCCAGGGTTTGCAAAACGATTTCCATTTCTCACAGTAAAGTGCGTGGCTGGAAAAGCCAGAGGCTGTTTTACGTTAAGAAGGAGTACAAATACTGCCAGCCAGGTATTACCTTTGTTGTCTTAAAGAAGATATTGGAATTTGGGCTAGTACCAACCAAAAGCTTTATTTTTATACTTTCTGAATGATAATATATACAGTATGTCATATTATTGTAATTCTTCAACTTTAATGATGGTCTCACATTATTTGTAATACCAAGTGTTTAAAAAAGTGTCAATTAAAATAATTATAATTATTTAATTTTTTAAGAAATAAACTAATGTTTCTATTATTTTTTATTTTCATTTTAACATTTTGGTTGTTGTTACCAAATAACACTGAGAGAGTGTGAGTCGTGAGGAAATGTAGACCAGGGACAGTAGATTCACTTCTTGCAGAGCCCTGTGTCTTTTGAGTTTTGGTCCAACCTGAGTAGTCAATTAAACAATTTACCTAATCATTTTCTTAAATAGGGTTGGCACAGTGTTGCAGTGGTTAGCATTGCTGCCTTGCAGCACTGGGGCCCTGGGTCCAGTCCCAAACCTGAGGTGCTGTCTCTGTGGATTTTGTATTTTCTCTGCGTGTTTACATGGTTTTTCTCTGGCAGTCCAAAGACACACTGGCAGGTTAATTGGCTTCTGGGAAAATTGGCCCCTGTTGTGTGCGTGTTTGTGTCTGTGTTTGCCGTGCAATGGACTGGTGAGCCATACAGAGTATATCCTACCTTGCACTCTTTGCTTGCTGGGATAGGTTCCCGCTCCCTCACAACCCTTTATTGGATAAAGTAGTTAGAAATTGGATGGATGGGTTTTCTTAGACATATGAAGGATTTTCTTAATAAAACTGCACCACTCTGCCCTCCATTAGTTCCCCCCTACTCCAGCATACATGCAGTACCCCAGTCTTATCATGCCTTCACACCTCCTTTCTAATGCCCAACACCTTGGCACACCATGGGGAATTTTAATCCCACTCCAAGACAAAGAAAATTTTATGGCAGTCTGTGGTCAAACAACCAGGTTGAAAGGTCACATCTTGAACAATTAGCAGAGGATGTCTTAGGTTTAGGATTAATAAGTCAGGGCAGGGATCTCTGAACTCTAAACGATGAGGAGACCTAAATCTTCCCAGGCTCCTGCTGGTCTGCAGTCACATCACTGCAGAAGGTACCACTCTTCCAATCATCTGTCACTCTCCTGTCGGGCACTGTGGAGCTCTCTGCACCTCAGAAGAAGAAGGGGGGATCAGAGGAGCATGTCTGTCTCTTCCCTATTCTCCATGTGCAGGAACAAGGTGTAAGGACACAATTGGAAAGCCCAAATTTTGATGGGTGCAAAAATGAAGAAGCTGAGAAAAGTGTTTTGATTCCAGGTACTGCTGAGAGACCAGGCTCCAAGGAATATCCCTGCACAAGCTGGGATACAAAGTGGGAGCAGCTCTGTTGGATTTTCCTGTTGCTTCTTCCCTTGGATGTCTGATGTTTACAGAGTTGTCAGTAAAACATGTCAAATACCTAAAGTATCTGTTACATTCCGAGATCACTGGAGGGGAAAACTATTGGGAGACTGAACAGGGAGGGCGACACAGACTCCTGCAGCCCTGCCCACCATGCAAGGACAGCTCTTGTTTTTATTTGCTCCAGGAATAGAACAGTAGAGCAGTGAAGCCTTCAAATTCCTCTTAAAGACAACCTTCTGGGGCCGTAATTCACAATCGCCCCACTGCAGGTGGAGCGACGCTTCTTTCTTGATTGTGAAGGATTTGTGCTCCTGTCCTTTTTCCAAAAGTTGTGCTCAGCTGGGCAGGAAGCAGCTAGCACCTGTGGTCGAATATGGGCTGTGCCCCTACTGGTGCCACGCACAGAAAGAGTTAAACTCTGAGTTTACAGTAAAGGCAAGAGGAAACTGCCGGTCTGGTGGTTAATGAGAAACCAAGAAACTGGTTTGAGAGTTTTTCGCACTCTTCTCCTTCCAGCTTGTGGTTCTCTCTCGGTCTGGACACCTCCCCCCTCCGATACCACACACCCACCAAGGCATCGTAACCCTGTCCCTGGCTCATTTCCACAAAACAGAACGCAGTGCAGGTGCTGGCACCCCATGAAAACTGGTGCTGCTCTCTGCACGGTTCCGTCTGGAAAAGAAAACCTGCAGATGGACAAGGGACGGGTCAGTCTGTGTGCAGCTCTGCAATGTTCTCTGAAATTCAGTTTTCAAGTTATCAATTATGTACAAGACAAAATGATTGAACTGTTCAAATCTCGCTGAATCTCTTAAATAAATAAGGATAAATAAGCTATGAGTTGAGCTTGATGAGGCTCTTAACATCCCTCCACACAGCTTCCCTTCTCTGTCTCCTTCTGTCTATCTCACTCTTTAAAATTCAGATTAAATTAACATTATTGGCTTGACCACACTGGGCTGCAGCTCTATTGAGATTCCTCTCCCAGTAGGACCGGGAGCTGTTCTGATTCTGTCAGGAGTGGGCATTCTGGGATTAGATTTGTTGTTTGAGAGTTTAATGTTTGTCAGATCCCAGAGTATTTCTCACAGTGCAGCAGAAAGTGGTTCTCTGTCTCTGCTTCTCCTTACTGGCAGTGGGAGCACAGCCTGTCCTCTCTGGGCAGCCAGGCCTGTCTGTGTCCAGTTTCTATGGCTTCACCACACACCTGTCTCTCTCTTACCTAGTTGCCCTGCAACTCAATTTTTCACTCTCCTCCTTAGACCAAAGCTTTGCCACAGTGTGTGGGTATTGGGCGGGGACCCCAAAAGGTGTCCCAAAATGAGAAGTATCACCACCTGCTAAGGGAAGTACCCTGGGTTAAACTTCAATCCCCTGGCTAATCATTGAAACGGCTGTGCTACCCTCTTAGATGAGAAGGAGATTGGGTTTAATTTGTCCTCACATTGTATTTGGGAGGCTGCTTAATCAGATCCTTGCACAAAACTTTTCATCTTTTTTAGGGGTAGTGGTGTACCTGGTTCTGTCGGAGAGTGTGGATGAGTGAAACACATTATTGCCAAATGTCATACAAGTTTTGAAACATGCTTCAGTGTTGACTCACTTCAGTGTGATGTCTGCCCTTCAAGGTGGGGCTCCCCAGCCCAGATCCTAGTGACCCCAATTTCTGCTGCCTGATAATTCAACTGAGCTCATGATTACTTAATTGGGACTGAAGATTTAGCTATTTACTGATCAGAATTTCTAAATAGTTTCCAGTTTGTGAACTTGCAGAGATTTTGATTTGCTTGTAAAAGTTCTGTAACATAAAAAGAAAGTTTTGTGGAAAATAGTTCAAAAGATCTCATTCATTAAATTATTAGTTAAATTAAAGATTTAATTAAGCAGCCTACTACTACATAGTGCAGTTGGAATGAAGACAAACAGACACTTAGTCCTGCTTAAAAGACTGGAAAGAAATTCCATGGAGTTCCGACAAGACTTCCAAAAGACTGATCCTCTTGGGTGTTCACCCTTAGACCTCAATTACTTCATTACACTAACTGCCAACTTAATTGGTCACTCTCACCCTCTTGTCACTGTCGCAGCTGTTAATTCTTGCAGGGGTCTTAACGATCTGGTTGTTCTCGTTGTTGGCTGACCTGGAACAAATTTCACTTTTTGTCCCCAGGTGTCTGAAGCAGCACACAGCTCCTGCTCCCATCCCTGAAATTGAGCATTGCCTTACACACCCTGAATGCTCCAGCCCTTCAGAGTCAGGGCTGACCCGGCAAAGAAACCAAGACAATGCACAGAACCGTACAGCCCTTCCCAACCTCCTGCTGAGCAAGGGGAAAGTAAGGGTTGAAGAGCTGGGTTGTGGCTCCACCTAGTGTCTAAGGCAGTTTATTACACCTAAATGTCCAATCCATCTATCCAATTTCAAACTGTTTCTTCCAATTCAAGGTTGCAGGGGAGCTGGAACCTATCCCAGCAAGCAACAGGCAGAAGGCAGGATGGCACACCTGTTCTATATGTGTCATTGTAGGGCGCAGACACAGACACTCACACACTCATGGTATTTCCTCCGCTGATGCATCTCTATCTTTTACTCCCCTTTTGAGGCTCAGAACACCGAGCCCACTATCAAGGCTCCCAGTGAACCAGGGGACTTTGTGTTACAGTCCTCTAAACATTAGGTGTGTAGAGCCTTTAAGAGAGTGAAATCCCGGAATGCAGCCGGCCCAGATGGCGTCTCCTCTCGTGTTCTTAAAACCTGTGCAGGCCAGCTATCTCCTGCGTATACAGACATTTCTAACCTCTCTCTGTCCCTGGCAGTTGTACCAGATTGTTTTAAGAAAACCACAATTGTGCCCCACTACCCAAGAAGAAAAAGGTAACTTTTTTGAACGATTACTGCCCAGTGGCACTCACGTCAGTGGTCACGAAGTGCCTGGGAAGACTAGTATTGCCATATATAAACTGCACTATCCCAGACTCCCTCGACCCACTTCATTTTGGTTACCACCCAAATAGGTCAGTTTACGATGGCATATCTCTTGCACTACACACTGCCCTAGACCATTTAGAGAGGCTGGGCACCTGTGTTAGGATGCTGTTTATTGATTACAGCTTGGCCTCCAACACAATTGTTCCCGCCAAGCTGGTCCCAAAACTCAGGAATCTGGGCTTACGCAACTCCATCTGCAACTGGATACTGGATTTCCTGACGGACAGACCTCAGGTGGTAAAAATTGGCAACAATATCTCCTCTACAGTGATCCTAAAAACTGGGGCTCCCCAAGCCAGCTGTCTCAGTCCTAGGCTATACTCCTTGTTCACCTACGACTGTACAGCCACTTACAGCAGCAACCACATTATTAAGTTTGCAGATGACACCACTACTATTGGGCTGATCAACAACAATGATGAGTCCACAATACAGGAGTAAGGTGGAGCATCTTACCAGATGCTGCCTTGACAACAATCTGGCCCCGAATGTCAACAAGACAAAAGAACTCATTAATGGACTTCAGGAGACCCAGAAGGAGTCACGCACCAATCAGCATCGATGGCACAGCAGTGGAAAATGTCAGCTGCATCAGGTTCCTCGGCCTGCAGATCTCCATCGACTTAGCTTGGTCTCACAACACTGGAGCCAGTCTGAAAAAGGCACAACAGTGCCTGCACTTTCTGCAGTGCTTAAAGAAATACTGTTGGGGAAGCAATTCCTCATGAACTTTTACCACAGTACCACAGAAAGTGTTCTCACTGGTGGCATCACTGTGTGGTACTGTACAGCAATACTACTATGCATGACAGAGATGCACCACAAAGGGTTGTGGCAACATTACAGAGGATTATAGGATGAGATGTACCATCACTCGGTGAGATTCACACCATCGGCAGTCGCAATAAAGCCCAATCCATCATTAAGGATCCCAACCATCCCTGCCACAAACTGTCCTCCCCCCTGCGCTCTGGCAAGCGGTGCCGCACTGTTAAAGCAAGGACCGCTAGACTCAAGAACAGCTTCTATCCCACTGCAGTGCGCGTCCTCAGCAGCCAACTGCACTGTGACTCAGACTCAATACACCTCCGCACTCCACACTTTTTGCATGGTCTACCATGTTTTTTTCTCGAAAGAGATCAGCGCGATTAAGAATTCCAATGTACGAGTACATATGGCAATAAACTACTTGACTCTGCTCACGCCAGGCCCAGTTCACCCAGAAGCCAATTAACCTACAGTTCCAAGATTCCATACTTTATTGCCTTGTTGACAAAGTTGATTGGAATTTGCCCCATTGCAGCTCAGATAAAAACAAAAATAACACAACATGTTACACTTGCGCACACAGTACGTGTTACATTCACTCTCATATAGTACTTTCAGCACCGAGGATCTACATATTGAGGTGCCTAAAGGTCTGTAGATAGGTGCTATTTCCAAAACTAGCTGGACTACATTCGATGCCTGGAAACCTCCTCCCTGGAGGGAGAGAATAAAAGGGCAGCTGGCGGGGTGGACGGGCTCTGCGGACCCGTTTTGACACACAGCTCTCATAAACAGAGTCAACAGAGCATGGATCTCACCCAAGCTGTGTGTGTGACTCTCTGTAGCTGTCTGCTCTCTGGGGCGGTTGTATTGCTGCACCACACTGTTAGATTCAAGATTCAAGATTTCTTTACGTGCCACGTACAACAACTGTATTGGAATGCTTACTGGTTCAGCTGTACCCAGTAACAAAACAGGCACATGGACAATAAGTTTAGACAATAGATGTTATGATACAGCCAAGACAGGATATAGTGCAAACAGTGCAGTACCTTAAAGTGCAGGTGCTGATTTGAGCTGTTTAAGATGTGGACTGCTTGGGGGAAGAATCTGTTTTTGAATCCATTCGTCAGTGTTCTGATACTGCGATACCTCCTACCAGAACCCAGGGGTGAAAACAGACCGTGGCCCGGGTGCTTTGGGTCCCGAAGTATAGCTCGAGCCCGGCTGTGGCAGCGGTCCAGATATATCTGGTCGATGGAGGGTAGCTCGGTCCCAGTGATTTTCTGCGCGGACCTCACAATTCTCTGTATGGCTTTTCTGTCCTGTACTGTGGCTCCACCATACCAGGCCGTAATACCACCGGTCAGGACACTGTCAATCGTATATTATGGTAAAAATTGGTGAGTGTTGTCTTGCTCATCCCCGACTTCCTTAACTGTCTGAGGAAGTGAAGGCGCTGGTGGGCTTTAGTGAGGATGGCAGCAGTGTTCTCTGACCAGCTCAGCCTCTCAGTGATCTGGAGGTGCTGACGTTTCGACCGGAGCCTTGTGAATGATGATGGGTGTGTGACGCCCGCCGTGCCGCCTGAAGTCCACTATCACTGTTATCGACAAGACGAGCGTGCTGTCTGTCACTGTGCTGTAGGAGAGAGTCATTGCGTCCTGATTAACTCCACGGTTCCCCGGCTGTGGTGGGGAGCGCAGCCTCTGATGGGCTTGCGTCATGGTGAGGCTGGTGTTCGTTCCCACTGTGCTAAACGCTGAGCTGTAGTTGATAAACGGGACCCGTGCGCGGGAAGCAGGGGCCTCAGGGTGCGGCAGGAGGGAAAGGAGGCAGAGTGAACCAGCATCCTCTAGAGACCTGTCGGCCCTGCAGGCGAACTGGTAAGAGCCCAGTTCAACACTGGTTACAGACCAGTCACCTGGGGTCATTCAGGCAGCAGACAATGGCTTTCTTAGGCCCTGGAATAACCACTGCAGTCTTAAACCATGCAGGAACTTTACACTGCTTAAAGACCGATTAAAAATGTCAGTAAAAACGGCCAAGTTGATATTCACAGCACTTGAGGGATGCTGTGGACACCAGATCAGTTCTTGCCACCTTCCTGCTGTGTTATCTGGCTAGCAGGTTCCTCACCTCAAGCTTCTGAATCTCAAGGGAGGGTTCAGGGGCTCCAACACCACAGGCAGGCTGTGCTGGTTAGCTGCCTGTCTGGCAAATGTACAATAAAATTCATTGAGGTTAGTAGGAACCTTGGGATAGTCATTACAGGCTTTACATTTAATCCTATAGCCTGTGATCAGTGGGAGACCCCACTGTATGTCTTTGGACTGGGCATGGAAACTGGGGCACTGGAGAAAAACCACACAAACATGGGGAGATACTGTATCTTTAAAAACGAACTCAGTTTGCTGTACCCCTGAAGCAGAGAATACTGCACGGCCTGTTAATCGTCACATGTGAGGGGTGCTCCTCCGCCGTCACGTGATAGAAGTGAGCGCTCCTTCCCGGCTTCGCCCGTCCGTGACCTGTGACGTCAACACTTTTACGACAGCGTGCGTACTCAGTTTTTGTGCGGTCTTGGCGGAGGTGCAGTTGCTGTGAATAGGCTGTTTCTGTTGTGTTTTCTGGGACGGCTTACAACTGAAAAGGAAGTTTAAAGAAGTGAAGGAAAAGCGCGAACTATCGGCGAAGGGAAGATCGACGGCTTTGCCGAGCAGCGCTGTTGCTGGAATCGAGTTGCTCGAGCCCTGGGTTTGCGGCGCGAGGCCCGGCGGATAGGGAGCTCGAGCCGCCCTCCGACTTCTGAAAAGTTTGTTGTTGTCACGTGACCGGGGAGGCGAGGGCAGCTGGAGAGCATTTTGTTTCGGAACATCGAAAACTTCCCATTTCTGCTTTTTTTTAAGTTCTTATTTATTTTCTGTTAGTAACTGTTGAGCTATGCCTCAGGCGAAATACAGAAAGATTGCCTTGTTGGGCTACAGATCCGTGGGTGAGTTTCTGTCGAAGTGTTCGTTTCTCTTGTGAACACGAGGAGTGAGTACCTTCAGTACAGATGTGCAGAATTTATTTCGGGGTTCTGCATTATAAATCGTAGTCGTGGCCGAAAAGCTAAACTGTGGGATACAATTTCTAGCATTAGCAATTCGTCTTTTCGCATACCCCAGCTTTCTCTCCATGTGTGCTGTG